AGATCCCACGTAAGGGAATATATTTGAAGATTGTATTGAACTGAAAACCAAACAACATAATTTAGACTAAAATAAGAACACTATAGTGTCAGGACCTAGCAAGCATGTATTCCTGACACTATAGTGCTGGTGTGGCTGTTTAGGTGACCGGCCCGCTCAGATTGCCCTAAAAATGTGAATTTACTTACTTTTTAGCCCATGCTGCGTTTTGATCATCTCAGCCAATCCAATGCTTTCCTGTAGGAAAGCATTGGGAGGCTATTGCACATGCACAGCAAAAATATGTCCTTCCCCAATCCGCATTTCCTGATATTGAATCAATGCATCTCTATGGGGAACGTTCATCGCCAACATGCATAGCGTGGAGACGCTGAACAGTGTGCAACACTGGACTAGGAGGTGGTCTCTCCCTCACCCAGGTGGTCTCTCCTTCCCTCTCTTTCCCCCCCTCCCTTCCCAGGTGGTCTTCCTACCTCTCTCTAGTGTAGCGTGGCCGAGCCCTGAGTGAGCACTTCCTGTCAGTCCGGCTGGGTACAGGAAACAGGAGCTCCTGTACCGCAGACCGGAGCAGGGCATGTTCCTGTACTGCGGACCGGACCTCGGCCACGCTACACTGTGGGACTGGCAGGAGGGAGCGCTGATCCCTCATATCTTGTGCCCCCGGGCCTGTGCACCCTCATGGACGCCTCTATAGAGCTCTCAAGGGGCCGCAGCATGAGGGGGGCGGCGTTCCTGGCGTCACCCCTTCCTAAGGGGCACCCTAGGCGACTGCCTAAGTCGCCTATAGGAAGCCCCGGCCCTGACTAGCCCTGACTAAGCACTTCTAGTGGTCATCTAAATGACTGCACTAAAGTTGTTCCCAGGCACCAATGAAGACTGCCTTCTCTGAAAAGGCAATGTTTACATTGAAAAGATGTCAGGGACAGGCTATAGACACCAGAACCACTACATTAAGCTGTAGTTGTTCTGTTGACTATAGTGTCCCTTTAAGCTATTTTGGCTTAAATGTTTAAATTCAGTTTTTAAATGACTATAATTCACTGTTCAGTGAATAATAACCCTTTCAAACGTGTAAGTTTCAGGAAGGGAATGCCTGCAGCCAACAATTTACATCTACCTGAATTTCAATGATTAACATTTGAGTCATAACCCATTTGTACACAGATTCTCAGGTTACATTGTAGCACACTCAGACTTGCATCATTCTGTCTTCTTCCTAATGAATTCTTTGAATCCCCAGAAACTAGCTTGACTTCGTCTACACTACAAGTCCTTTTTTACACTATAGTCTTAAAGGTATTTTCTGCAGCACATGTGCATTTATATATATATATATATATATATATATATATTATATGTAGTATTATACTTTGGGAACTTTTATTTGTAATGCTCAATGTAGTGTGCCTACAGCTTGCCAGAACAGTGATGCTATCCTCTGCTTTAATATCAAACGATTTAGGAAAAGATTGTCATAAAGATTTTCCCCTCCTTGGCCAAATTTTTAAAATTTACACCACCTCATTATCAAGGGCAATTTTGTCCAGCCTGTGCGGTTGTTACTGGCTGAGAGTGCTGAGGGAAGGTTAATCCAGTGCTCTAAGCCAGGCAGGTGCCACATAGCTTGGTTTAAATGCATACTGATAATGCAAAAGTGAAAATCAAGGCAGCAAGGCAAGGGAACTCTCTGGGTATTTGAAAGTGGCATATGCCAATTTAGGAGACCTTAAACCAAGAAAACTGAGAACAGGCCAAGGGAAAATGAGCAGAAAATGAAGAAGCAAGGGAAGACAAAGAGAAGAAAGTGAATGAAAGGATGTTGTTGAAATCTGCAAGACAGTTTTTAGAATTACCCCTAGTCCCCTAGTCTCCATTCCATTTTAAATAGTCTAACCAAAGTACTTTAATCTAATGATGTGCTTGTCCAGTGCTCGATGGACACACGACCTGGAACGGCAGAACAGAATCCTGAAATCGAGACTGTCCTGCCCTAAAACAAGACTGTTGGGATGCAGGCACAGGACCAGGGAAGAGATTCTTGGTGTCTTTACAATTCAGCAATATCTCTTTTGCTTAATTATTTCTATCTAGCAGAAAAGTGATTTGACTGATTAATTTATTTGGATGTCTAGTAAAGGATTCCTCTGATTTTTAAATATTTGTAATATTATAACCATTCTGAATATATGTTTACACATAACTAAATGTGTATGTTTCTGGAAATAAGAAAAAGAAAATATATATGTATATATATATCAGAATGTTTGATTTCTTATTTTTAAACTCATTCATTCAAAATCTTTCATTCAGTTGGTGGAGAATCAAAAAAAAGAAAAAGTTATTTTTAGCAATAGTTCTCAACTGCAATCACCCATTTATGGCTTTTTCATGCTATGACACAAGCCACAAGCTTCCAAAGGCAATTTACATCTTGGGAGCTCTATTATTTAACATTATTATTATTGAATGAGACAGTTGACTAGGTAGCATATTTCACTCCAGTTTTAAGGGCAAGAAGACTCTAAATGGTTCCTTACTCTACTTACCCATAATCCTCCAGATCTTATCCCCTACAACCTGAAAGATGCATTCAACAATGACACACATTTAAATAACATTCTACTTTACTTGCAAAATATGCAGTGACATATTTACATCTCATGTAGGTGCCAGTAGGTGCATGATTCTCTGGTGCCCCCTCCCCCTTACAAAATCCAGTTCTTCATGATTTACACGACACAGAGATAGGAGGTAAATCTCTTACTACACTATTCTTTCTACAAATTAAGAAAAATGGAGTTACCAAGTAGCAAAAAAAAAAACATATATGAAAATATATCTTAAAATGAGAAAATGCAGATTGGTAGTCAAGGTAGGTGCCTCTAGTAAACAGGCGCTTGTAGGCAGCTGCCTACTCAACCTATTAGCAGATCTGTCCCTGAACAAATACTACATTATGTGTGACAGTTGCAACTGTATGGTGGCATTCTATTTTATGTACATTTATGGCATTACTAAGTCACTTTAAACACATGCAAAATGTACATTTTGTGATATTATACTGGGTTTTTAATAGCATTACTAAATGATTATTTTATTCACAAAAACTGTGCTAAACAAAATAACTAGTGCCATCCACTGGTTCTTTGTCAAAACTTGTTTGGGTAGTTTGACACAAACTGTGGGTTCGATTGACACCCATGGCCAACCTATTCACTTTAAGTCCATCCGAAATTGGACACCAACATTGGCTCAGAGTTTTAGGTGAAATGTTCAGACACATTTGGACAAAAAGCGCTGTCCACATTTGGACCAGAGTAATATTCCTAATGTGAATGTGTTTATATCTTCTGCAATAGTCCCTAAGCAAGGGGTCAGATCATATGTGCCAAGGGGAACCCTTGTTTGCACCAAAATACTTGAAAACAGTTTGAGACAGAACAGTGCAACAGCACCATGGGCATGCTGGCACCATAACAACTATAGCAGGCTCTAGTGCTTATGGTGCTTCGAGTGCCCATTTAAATTCTTTCTTTAGGTGGCTCACTTCCTAATATTATGAAAGCTAAAAGGGGTGTCACCAATTTTAGAGGAATACTACTGGTCACATAAAGTACATTATCGTTATTATATATTGTTGCATAGCACCAACATACCAGGTGCAATACGCAATGATTCTTACAAGTAATTATGAGAAAACAAGCTGGTAAAATGGAGCCAGAGGGCGATGATGGCTCTGCTCAAATGAGTTTACAGCCTAAAGGGAGTTTTTTTTATTTTTATTTACACAAGAGGCAAAAGTGAAAAATATCCATCAGGGAAGGAAGATCTCAGAGTTTATTTACACAAGAAGCAAAGAGCAACATTTTATAAAAGCAAGAGTAAGGGATGATGCTTCCAAAATCAGCAAACACATTAATTATAGACTCAAATGAAGCATGCTTCATTATTTCATCAACTGACGTACAACTGCATATTACCAGTCAACACAGGAAACACTTTTTTTCACAGATGCCAGGGAGAAATTTGTTTCTTTTTTTTTAACTAACTAAACTGTGTTTCTACCTCCACGGTTGGTGTTCCAGTCTGGCTATGAATTATGTAAATGGCCATGCAGTATAGACCGTTGAAGTGTGATTTTCTGTTCCCAGAATTTTGTACGGAACAGACGGCATTCAGAGACCTCTCCCTAAAATTCAACATCCCAGTCTTCTTCTGTAGTGAGTCAATGCTTCTCATACGGTTGTTACAAAAACCTCATTGTAAAGAATCTGAGAGTTTTTTTATATTTATTTTTTATTTATTTAATATATATACCAAAACAAACATGTGATGTGTAAAATATATGCAAACTTTTCCAGCAATAGACTGAAGGAAGATCCCTAATTGTATTTGCAGGAAGGTGAGACACAGAGACTTGAGTAATATCCTGACAGATGTTTGGGGAAATATTTTTTCTAGCACAGACTGATTAGGTGGTGGTTTTGAATTTTGGGTTTTTTTTTTTTCAACCCTCCCCTGCAGCATCACTTTGAACATTATAACAGAGTAATTTCTCCCACTTTTACACTTAATTATCCTAAAAGGCACAGTCATGTTCTTTTAGACTTTTATTCTTTTTGTGAGACGCACAATTAAATCTCCCTTTTATTTTTGTTTTGGAAAATATTGTATGACCCAAACATGTATAAACATTGTCTGTTCAATCTATTGTTTTCCTTTCGAGGATAATCTAATGTGCTTATAGCAGTGTCTTTCTGCTGAAATTTAGAATAGACCATATAAGGGCACAAGACGACAGAAGATGTTTATTTTCTGGCTGGTTGTTTATTTTATGTCAAGCTTTGACATTTGTAAATACAAATGTTAAAAATTGTGTGCAGATGGAATCTACTGTATGTAAGAAACAAGTAACCTTTTTAATGCAAAATCTCTGAATAAATCAGCACTTTTAAAAAAAACTTTTTATTGTTCAGCCAAGAATGTTACACATTATCCTTGTAGACGTTAGTAAAATTGGCCACAAACCTAAACAAAAAGAAAATCCAGGAAATGTACTCAAAAAGCATTTGGTAGAGAAAGCAAAAAAGGTTGCAAAAATGAATTTAAATCCATCTGAAGTGTTTGCTTTCCTTCACCAGCTTTGTCTTCCTTACATGAGTTTTTGAGACATAGACCAGCTTTGCTCCATTGAACCATTGCAGTTCTGTAGGTTTACCACATAAGCAATCTGTGCCGTGATCTCCAGCGGAACTCCACATGTCCTTGTTATTTTCTCCTATAATAAAAAATACACAAAAACACGTTGCTCCAATGGATAGATATAAAGGTAAAATGAGAAAGGAAATATATATAGAACAAATAATAAATACACGCATAAAATCCAAAATTTACAGTCCAACTATCACAATCCCAGCTGCTTTTAAATTCTTGATAGGCATCAGTTCTTGATTAACGTGCTTGTCAACATATGTAAAAAGATACAAAATTAAAGATAATGGTGCAGACTGTTTAAGAAGGAAGATAAAACTCTCAACAATGGTAATTGGAATTGCACTCACATTTTGTAGAGTTTAAACTAGCTCTAAGTAAAATTGCTTGCAGCGGTACAATCCCCACTGATGGATATAAAACTCTGAAGGCCAGTGTCTCAGCATACAGATGGTTCTATAAAAAACAAAGATATACACAATAGTGCTCACTGTAAGTACAATTAATATAAAATAAATGAACATATTTTACTCACATTTGATAGAGCGTTGTATCGCTCAAATATCTGCGCATGGGTGGTATAATCCCCACCAGGGATATGTTTTGAAGTAGTTGTCCAAAATTGAAGTTGGATGTACCAGGAACAAGTAAAATAGTTACAAACTATTGAAAAACATAAAAAAGTGTAATAAATGGCCTAACACATACAATAAGTGAAAACCAAATATACTTTAATGCTATTAATGCGTTAATGCTGTTGTTATTTTTTTTCAAGGTTTGAGGGTATACCCTATATCCAGAGTTTGCTGCCTATATTTTGTCAGTTGTTCTTCTAGCGCTTATCCCTACCTGTGTTTTTTGAATTTTCTCCTATAATGACCACAAAGAAGACCTATTTGAAACACTGTAACTACAACACTGGACTTCGTTTAGCCAAATCTGACAAATGCACAACTCCAACCTGCAACCCACTTCAACAACAGAGGATATTTAATACACCCTATTGCATCCAGATTTCTGTAAGTGCTGTAAAATCTCAATGGTGGGATAAAACTTTATTGAACAGCTTTCAGGGTTCTTCATTGACCCCACTCTGGATCATCAAAAATAACCCAGCACCATCCATGAGCATTTGGACCGCATTGTTCTCAAAATTTATTAATGTCCATATTTTGCAACACAGCTTCTAAATTGCTTTAAATGTAGAATGAATATAATTTTGTCTGGATGCAACCAAACAGCTTAAATCTGGAACTGAATTACAGAAACAGGCAATTAAATGCTTCAAAATAATGGGCCACTTACTGCCTAGTTAAAGCAAATTAACACAATTTGGTTGGACTGAATTTGCAGGCAGCTATGTCAATTCTTTTAGAAACTATCAATGCAAAATCTGCACTGACCATCATTATTTAATTCCATTTAAAAAAATATTTATTGAAAATTATTTTATACAACATATTTATATTATTTATTAAACTAATAATTACTCATTTTAAAAGACACCAGATAGCACCGAACAAGGTGGACTCAGGTAGTTAAAATAACTGACTATAACTAGATTTTACTCTAGTAAATATGATAATTGTTAACCTGATTATGTGGCTATTTTAACCAAATTCTGCCTATCTGGTCTAAATTATGATTTTAACGAATAACCCTGTGAATGAAAGAAAAATGCATAGCAGCAAAGCTGTTATGTGCTGTGGACTCCTGTTCCTTCACCCCATGTGCAAGACATAAAGTATTCATATACTACGCTGAGACTCCGTGATACTCTTACTCGAAGTTGCTGTCCTATGGTTCCATTTTAAGGGAATACAGTATATACACTGATCAGTCACAACATTAAAACTGTTGACAGGTAAAGTGAATAACATTGATTATATCATTACAATGGGACCTGTCAAGGGTTGGAATATATTGGGCAGCAAGTGAATAGTCAGTTCTTGAATTTCAGGTGTTGGAAGCAGGGAAGATGGGCAAGCAAAAAAGTCTCAGTGAGTTTGACAAGGACCAAATAGTGATGGCTAGACTACTAGGTCAGAGCATCTCCAAAGCAGCAAGTCTTGTGACCTGTGCCTGGTATGCAGTGGTTAGTACCTACCAAAAGTGTTGCAAGAAAGGGCAACTGGTGAACTGACATCAGGATCATGGGCGTCCAAGGCTCATTAATGCACGTGGGGGGCGAAGACTAGCCCGTTTGGTCTGATCACAAAGAAGAGCTAGTGTAGCTCAAATTGGTGAAAAAATAATGCTGGCTGCCTGGCCATGATAGAAAGATGTCAGAACACACATGAGGCTGTGTATCTGTAGACTGGTGCAGTGGCATACTAAGGGGGGGGGCAGAGCTGCGTGGCTGCCCAGGGAGACGTAGCAGTAGGGGCGCTGGGCAGCCGACACAGCTCACACGCATGGGCCGGGAGCAGGAGAACTTAGGGGTGAGTTGGGGGCGGAGTCAAAACGGATGCGGGGGTGGGGGTAGCTACAGGCAGCCTCCACTCTCTGCTCTTACTGCTGCACACAGAGGGGAAGGAGTACCTGCTTCCCCCAACAACTGCTATACACCAGGGACATCAGTGACTCAACACTCATCCTCCAGTAAGTGAGAGAGAGAGAGAGTGTGTGCTGTGTGTGTGTGTGTAACTGTGATTGTGACTGCCTGTGACATGTGATTGTGTGTCTGTGATTGTGTTTGTGGATGTGTGTGATTGTGTGTGTATCTCTGATGTTAAGTATGTGTTGTGATTATGTGTGTTGATGTATGTGATTGTGTATGTGTGTGTGTGTGTCTGTGGTTATATGGGTGTATGTATATATACATATATATATACACACACAACCACACACACAGACACATACATAAACACACATAATCACACACACTTAACCACAGAGATGCACACACAATCACACACATAATCACTGACATACACAAACACAATCACAGACCTACACACATACAATCACAGACACATATATTTAGATGTACACACGCAATCATCACATACATACACAGATTTAATAAGAGGTCCACCATCTATTGTGTTATTGTGTGTGTATATAAATGTGTATGTGTTTAGTAGATAGTGCCATTAAATATTGCAATCTCACACAAGGATAACAAGTAAGTGAGTTATCTACTAAACAATTGAAAGATTAATATTAAGAAAAGGGTTTTTTAAATTTTGATCTTTTAACTGTTTAGTAAAAACTTCCCTAAATTTGGTGCCCTTATGGGAGATTTCCATATTTAAAGATACTAAATTAGGGTGCTGTTTAGCAGATAGCTCCCTTATTTGGTGTCCTTAAATATGGCAATCCCACATAAGGATAGCGAATAGGGGGGTTAACTAATAAACAAAGATTGAAGTTAAGAGGTGTTAGCCAGCCCACAACAAGAAATCTGGGTTGCTAATGTGAATTCTATGCAAATTTGTTGCCGGATGCTGGCATCAGACAGCCAATCGCATCATATTACTCCATCCCCTACTGAAACGTTTTAGTGCCCTCCCAGTTTTGACTGGTATCTTATGTGCCCCACCTCATATATTGTTCCTAGAGTCGGCTCTGTGTCTCCATGTGTGTCAGTGTGTATATGTGCATACATTCCAAAATCTTGCCAACACTACGTGCAAATACACCCCTGCATTTCAATGTCAACACTACATACAAACCCCACCATTATATATAACCACACCACTGCATTCAAAAACCACATTATACACAAATGCATGCTTGCATTCAAACACAAACATTACATACAAACACACCCCTACATTCACTCAAACATACTCCATACAAAAACATGCTAACATTCAAACACACAAACACTGCTCAGTGCTAAATACATTTTAAAAAATTGTGGTTGTTTTTTTAAATTTTAAAGTCAGGGTGGGTGGAATACAAGGGGGGGGGAGGGGTTCCTGGACACATATAATTGACATAGAAACATAGTATGTGACGGCAGATAAGCACCATTCAGCCTATCTAGTCTGCCCAATTTTCAAAATACTTTTATTAGTCCTTGGCCTTCCTTTTCTTATAGTTAGGATAACCTTATGCCTACTCCACGAATGCCTAAAACCCTTAACTGTGTTCAGCTGGAAGGCTATATCTGCGCTGTAACAGTAGGGAGAGGGAGGGGAAAAGGGAAAAAGAAAAAAGGGGGGTTGATTCATCTTGTGATCTAGGTGCGAAATTTAAACATACTGCTCCTGGAAAAAACAATAGTTCCAGTATTTGTGATGATTTTTTAGAGTCAGTCCCCCCTCAAACAAGAGAGGAGAGAACTTTTCCTCTCTTCAAAAATATGAACAACAAAAAGAGAAGGGGGGTACCCATAGAGGAACGAGAGGAAGGGGGAAACAGCCCGGCCAAAATGAGATGTCTTTAATGAGAGGTCTATTTAATTTGTCTCACCATACCCTAAATATGGGGGAGATCTCCCTATTGAGTAAAGGACTTAAATATGCCCCGGATAGACTACCTAACATCATTGATTTATTTAAAGATCTTAATTATTTCGTTAAGAAATTAACTGTTTCTAGATCATTCAACATCAGGGAATCTAAGGGTCCAAAAGATTGTCCTAAGATTTTTAATACCCCACAGGATAAAATAATTTTTTATAATTTAATTTCTTTATTGGATGAACAAGAGAACCTCTCACAACAGTTTGAGGATGTGCCAAATATAATAGAGGCTAATATTCCATCTGGATTTAAACCTCCCTCTATGTTCTATCCCCAGGTGGATAAAGGCCCCTATATTCAAATGTTTTATGAACTGGTTCTGAAGGATTTGAGAGCCCTTTGTGAGACTCTCAAAACGAAAAGGGACCGAGTGTGTAATAATTTGGATAAATCAGAATTAGCGGCCATTACTAGCTTGAAAGCCAATTGTAACCTTATCATAAAAGGAGCGGATAAGGGGGGGAGGGGGGGATTGTCTTGCTGGATAGAGTTGATTATCTTAGGGAAGCTGAGAGGATTTTGGAAAATAGAGACTACTATGAGGTTTTAAGACATGATCCTACCTCACAATTCAGGGGTGAATTGAGAGACCTCATAGAATCGGCTTTTCTGACTGGGGCCATAGACAAAAAAGAAAGAAGTTTCTTCCTTACAACACAGGGAGAGATCCCCATTTTCTATTACCTCCCAAAGGTGCATAAATCTCTCACTAATCCTCCAGGTCGCCCGATAATATCGGGTTTAAACTCCCTGATCTCACCCATTTCTAAGTGGGTTGATTTTCATTTACAGAGATATGTTCCACATCTCCCCTCTTTTCTAAAGGATACAGGACATATGTTGTCCTTAATTAAGGAGATTGAGTGGTCAGAACACTATTGCTGGCTAACAATTGATGTGGCAGCCCTCTATTCCAATATTGATCACACCTTGGGCCTAAAAGCCATCTCCCTATATTTACAATCAGATCCTCTCCTTCCAGTAAAACAGTCAGAATTCATTATTAAATTTACGGAATTTATGTTGAAACATAATTGTTTTGAGTTTAGTGGGAAGTTTTTTGTACAGACAAGGGGAAATGTGATGGGGGCGAGTTTTGCTCCATCCTATGCTAATTTATTTATGGGTCACTGGGAACAAATTATGATTTTCGCAAACCCTTATTGGATGGAGCGACTCACCTTCTATCGGAGGTTTATTGATGATATCATTATTATTTGGAGAGGTGATCTGAATGAAGTAGAAAGCTTCATGACCTATATCAACAATAACCAATGGGGCCTCTCTTTTACTTATAAGAAACATAGGTCTTCTATTGATTTCTTAGACCTGACTTTGACTGGGACTAAAGGAAGAATTACTACTAAGACTTTTCAAAAGAGTGTTGATGTGAATGGTTATTTACATGCTAGAAGTGGCCATCATCCTACATGGATACAAAACATACATTTAGGACAATTTACTAGAATCAGACGAAATTGTTCGTTCATGTCTGACTATGAGAAAGAGTCCCTTGTGTTATGCCAACGCTTTATTGAAAAATCTTATCCTCCAAATAAGGTATTAAATGCGTATTTAAAAGGGCACAATTATAAGGTTAATGCTCCACTCAGGAATTGTTCTATGGGTCCTTCTAGTACGATTAATCCCCTCCCAACTGTGTATTCTGAATATGAGTCCAATACCAATGAGCATCATATGATCCTAGATCTACTGGATAATACTCATGTCCCCAAGATGAAGAAAGCAAAATATAATATCAGCACAAGAGAGGTGGGTAGAGGCACAACAGCCATCTTTTCATCTACATTTAATATAGCTTTTGATGACATTATTGGGATTTTCTATAAGTATTGGCCGATTTTGACTAAAGATCCCTGGTTATCCTTTTGCATTTCAGAATTCCCTAGGATTACATTCAGGAAAGCTCCCAGCCTGAAAAATATTTTAGCTCCCTCTAAGTTACAGCACCCCAATGAAAGAAAAACGAGAGCGAAGAAAGAGGGTCTAATTAACAAACGCTGTGGCCATACTAAATGTCTCACTTGTGGCTATATTTGCCATCTTGTTTCAAGTTTTAGCCCTTATAATAGCTCTGAGGTATTTTCAGTGCAATCTGAAATTACCTGTAACACTCCATTTGTAGTGTACCTCCTAATCTGCCCGTGTGATCGGCAATATGTGGGCCAAACTACTAGGCCCTTGAAATGCAGGTTCCGAGAACATAGAACGGCTATAATTCGCAATAATACTAAGTCGTCAGTAGCCCGACATTTTGCCATGTACCATGAAAAGAATCCATCAGGTATTAAGTTAATGGGGCTAACACATATTCCTCCACACCAGGATGGGGCAGTAAGAAAAAGGGAACTAATAAAGTCTGAGTCCATGTGGATTTTTAAGTTAAATACTATGACACCTAACGGCTTGAATGAAGAGCTAGATCTATTCTAAACATTTTTTATTTTGGTTTGGTTTGTTTTATGTTATAATACACTTTATGATAGTGTTTGCATTTTTATGTTATTTTGGGGTTTACTTTGTATATGTTTTTAATATAAAACATTCTGTGTTTTTTCTCTCTAATTTTTAATATTTATTATTATTATTTTTTATTATTATTTTTCAGTTTTACATATTTATTTTTTATGGTGGTCTAATTAAAATTATATACATTATTATGGAATAAAAAGTTTTTCTTTTAACATGTTATTGTTGTTGATGAAAAAGTTTTTTATGGATCCAGTCCAGGGTTTACCTTTCACTTATGTTAATTAGGTCATGCCTGGGCTATTTAATCTTTGATCTGTGGCAAATTACTTTGTCTTGAGAAAGTCCCGTGGGCGGGACGAAACGCGTCGACGAGTCACAGCTGATTACGTGACGTTCTGCTCTGTTGCTGTGGGGAGCTGTAGTGTTTGCCGGTGTCTGTCGGAAGTTGGTCTCTCACACCGCGGTCTTTTTTGAAGACACCGACCGCGGTGTAACACGCTATATTCAGTTTGTGGGTGAGTCTCTGTCCTACTGGTGGATTGTTTTTCATCTGCTTTCCATCTACACCGCGGTCTTTTTTGAAGATCCCGACCGCGGTGCAACAACTATCTGTCTTCTTTCGACGGATCCCTGTCTTTTGGCCACTACTATCTCCCCTGATTTGTACCTCGGTGGGGGCCCCCACCGAGGCAAGGTACTTTTATCTTGTTTATTTGATGCTTATTTTATTTGTATCTTTTTGTTAGCTTTTGTTACCCCTCCAGATACTTTGTTTTTACACATTGTAGCCTTAGTATCTGTCAGGTGCTTATTCTGGCTTCATTATTTGTCAGGATTTGCTCATTCATTGATATTT